GGTGCCCCGCGCGCCGCGGCCGTTGGCGGCCCCGCGCTGCTGCTCCGTGAGGTGACGAGGCCGTTTTGTCCTCCCACTAGGATGGGCAGAGTTTCAACGTGCTAGATGAGGAGAGCTTCGCCAAGAGGATCCTCCCGAAGCACTTCAAGCACAACAACATGGCGAGCTTCGTGAGGCAGCTCAACTCCTGTAAGTGCCTCTCGCCCCGCGGGGCATCCCAACCCCTCGGGAATGGCAGCAGCGAGAGAAGTCCTAGTTCATTCACTAATTCGTAGCTGAATTAGTTTAGCCAGTTGGGCTTTAAATTTGAGCGTCGGTGTAGGAGTTGAAGCTCCTTGGAGTTGAAACTTTGCGTAGTCTACTCTGAAGATTGTCAGTGTTTTAACACTAGAGAGCATCAGTGTAGGTCAAGAAAGAGCCACTTCCGAAGGTCTGCCGGTAGGGAGGCCGTAACAGGCAATTACAGTACCCAATCATGCCTGTCTTTGGGCTGTGAAGCCTATATTTTCTTATGTCTCAATAAATGCTTGAAAAAATTACAAGGAGCGTTTAAGCGTCTCTTTGAGCATCACGAGGGTTTATTGCAAGAGACGCTCTTTTAGGTGTCTCTTGCAGTTACCTGGTGTCCATTTTAGGACGTGGAAAAGAATGGCTCTGGGAAAGGTGTATTTCAGTTTTTATTGATTAATTTCCTGTGGTCTTGGAAGAGCATAAAGCGCTCTAAGGAATTACTTTTTTTTTTTTTTTTTTTTAATGGAATGTTATCTAATGTGGCAATAGGAGTCTTCTGAGGCTATCAGTTTACAAAGAAGTCTATAGCTACTGCTCTCTCTATATACGTATGTATAATATATAATGGATATTATGGCCTAATACCGTAAAGGGCTGTATGTATTCTTGAGTGACTTCTTTAGGTGAAAAGATGTGACTTGACAAGTAAACTATAACCAGATGTCCAGATTTAAGTGTGAGGTACATTATCTCTTTGGTGCATTATCTCATTTGCATTAAAACACTGTGTTTTTTTCTCCAATAATGTTGATTTTAAGGTTTCTATAATTGACCAGTTCTGTTGGCAGACCTGGGCAACAGTTGACCTGGAATAGTCCTGTGCCTTTATGAAGTTTACATAGTTACGCTATCTGTGTGTTTCTCTGTTTTCCCAATAACTTCCTCCTGGCTGGCCAGATCCAGTGAAATCTAAAAAGGAATGGAAGCCTCCAAAGTCCTTCAAGTGTCATGATATCTAGTGCCCTGGTGGAAGAATAAGATGCAAGTTGATGGTAGGACACAAGGAAAGAACTCTGTTTCTTAAAGTTCAAGGGGGCAGTAAGTCAGTCATCACTGTGAGCAAACTGGTCAGTCCTTCTGCATCTGAGTATAAAGCCAGCTGCAGCACATCTTTCCCCTAAATGAGATGAATAAATAAGGGAAAGAATGAGGTTTGGGGGAGGAATTCTGGCAAAGTAGAGGGGAGAAAGAAAAAAAACAAGAATTTGCAAAGGATTTTCTAGTAAAATGTCTCATCAAAGGAAGTGCGAATTCTGTTTGCATGTTTGTATTTTAAATGCATCTTGAGAAATGATGAGGAGATGTGAGGCACATTGGTTGGTTTGTATGTTTATGTCCAGCCCAAACAGCTTGGTCACTGCAGTATAATGGATAATCTCAGCTGAGGATCCACATGAGAAAGATGGTAACCTTGGTGACAGGTTATGGGAGTTATTGAAAGCTTCTTGTAAAGCCCATGACGTGCAGGTTTATGTATATTCAGGCTGTTGAGTATTAATGGGCAGTTTTGGCTGAGAGCAACTTTTAATTACATGTCTGGCAGATACATGGCAAGAGGATCAGTATATGAATCTCACTGTGGTTTATCACTGTTCAGTAACTTGTATACGTTGTTGGTTTCATGCAAACTCAAGCTCATGCTCACTAAGCAAGACTGCAAACCGGGAACCTGTTGCTTATGCTCAGTGTAATGTGCTGTCTGCTCCTAAGATTATGAGCTTTAAAAATTTTAGGATTTTGAATGTCAGGATTTGACACTTTTGATTACCCTCTTTTTATAAAAATAACTCAATCTCCGTGTAAGAGTTTCCTATGTGGGTATACTTGAGGCAGTGAGTGAGGGTAGTGACTTGCATATATTGTTATGGAGTGTGTGTGTTTGTTTTGTTGTTCCCATTTGATCACTTTCAGGAATGTCACTTACCTCAGTCTAGCTGATTATTTCAGTCTTGTGTATGTTTTTGGCTGCTTTCGGCTGCTTTCCTATCACTTTTGTCTTTACAGCTCTCCGTGTATTCAGGATGGGAGAAGTCAAAAGTATTAGGGTATTGTAAAAGTATATAGGCTTTTTGGTTGGTTGATTTGGTGATAGTGTTGTTTTGCTCTGTTTTTTCTGCTGATGAAGGCTTCTCTGACCAGTGTTTTTTTTCTCATAGAACATTGCCATTGAGTTATTCTGCTTCCAGAAACCACACCACATGATGACAGATGTATTGTGCAGATTTGAATCATATTAAGTGTTCCATTAAATCAAGTGATATTAGGAAATTCAATTCCAAAATATTTCTGAAGAATAATTCATGGTATTAATCACTGAAATGCCAGATTCATTAAGTCTTAAATCATTAAAAGCTTCTAATATATTAAGTTTGTGGCTTATTCTGTGGCTGAAATGTATTTGCCTCCCCTTGTGTTTTATTATTATTATTTATAAGATGTCTGCTATGAGTTAGTGGTGTTTACAAGCTCTTGTCTGATGTGGTGCTCTGGTATTTTTAGTGAACATATATTTATATGGCAAATAGGACAAGTTTAGAACATCATTATCTATAGCAGGTTCACAGGGTAAATATGAATCCTGTTTAAAAAGGACATGGCGAAGTTGCCCAGAACATCCTTATCGTATTAACATCTCTTCTAATGCTTGATCCTTATCTTTCATGCCTTCTCTCTTGCTCCATTCTTCTTCCAGTGCTGTTTGCAGTGGAGGAACTTCAGGCACCAGACTTGACTTCCCTGTTGCTTCTCTCTTGATGATGATGGGGTCTGTTAAGGCTTAGTCCCTTAACCGGCTTAGCTCCCCTTGGTGACAGACCCAGCCCTGAGGCTCTTGCTCGCCTGTAGGCAGTTACTGCTGATGAACTGAGAAATGTGAGAGCAAACAAAGGGACTTGCTGCACCTTTCCCTGCCCCTGTGCTGCCTGCCAGGAGTGCCAGCACAGCTCCTGGTAGAGCTCTTGGTAGGGCTGTGCAAGGAACTGAGCTGGGGGATTGCTAGAGAGTAGTAATTGCTCTATAGCTGGATTATCTCCACTGAGTGGAATAATGCATTATAAGAATACACTCAAAAAGATAACACAAAATGAAGCTATTGTGGTATGAAGGCTAGAAATACTAAAACAGAACCAAGGTATTTGCAGTGAAATTCCTACAAAAGTATTAACTGATATGCTTACTGGCCTGGACAGTACTTAACACTGTTGGTAACACAACAATATTTTAAAAAGCAGATCTTCAGTTTGGTATTCTGACTCCCCTTTTGGTGTATGGTAGCTCCTCGAACAATGCAAGACTGACAGGATGTCCTAGTATTGACTGCCTTCCCTGCATAGGAAGAAATGTAGCTAAAGTGCCCTGTGGCTTGCTTCTATACCATAATTCTTGCTTGGAGTGGTAAATCATACCAAAAGTAATTATCTAGAATTGGAATATAATGTCAGGAGCACTGAATGCATAGCCTAGTAATTTAGCCTCTGTATTGGAAAGGGAAGAATCCATGTCTCCTTTTAAGAAACAATAGCCAGTGCCAAGAGAAATTTCCTGCACAGAACGTGTCTGTAGTCTCTAAGTAACTCTAAACCGAGGGGTAGGAATGAAAAACTAAACATAATGGCATTTCAAGCCTCTTGGATTGAGTGAACATCTTTTTAAAGCGACTAAAATGCACGAGCCCGAAACTGTTCTTATGACTCAAAAGGCTGAAAACTGAGTGTGTTCGTTAAAATGAATGTCAGATAAAGGCCCAAGATGCTGCGTTAGCACTATGCCCTTCTGGGTATTTGTGATAATTTGCTGATATGTAGAGCAGCAGGGTGTTCAGAAAGCTGTCTAAACTTAGTAGTGGGTATAAAACATGAATGAAAATACAAAATTTACTCAATTTTGTAAATGGCTAAGGCTAAGTCTTAATGCTTAATACTTTGCTTTTCAAACAATTTCTTAAAGTTTATTTTTTTTTGCCACATCTTCCATACTTGTTAGCCTTAAGGCAGCCATTTAATCAACTTTTTTTTTTTTTTTTTTGAGTTGTGTTTTCTTTTTTCTATTTAAGCTCATGGCTGCTGAGATCTGGGATTTTGGAATTTGTAAGAGTTTATCCCCACAAACCTAAAAATACATTTGATCTTCTAAGTTGTTGCTGTCAGATCTGCTGTAGGTTAATCATAATCGGCCTGATTCTGTTTTCCAGTAGAGTATCTTACAGCATAGCAACAGTAGATGATTAGAAGCAAATGCTGGATTAACCTTTCCAGCTTCAGCACAAACCCAACAATATTAGTTTGATATATTCAAAAGTTAATTCTTAAGAACAAAACATTTCTATAGTTAGATAACTGCTTATCTTTTTTTTTCTTTTTCCTAGAAAAAAATCCCAATTTAGAGTATGACATACCTACTGTCTATTTGATCAATGCACTGTAGGGCACTTTACATCTTTTGAAGTTTAGCTTATGAGTTCTCTGACTTTCTAAATCTTTTTTGTTGCTTTTATTCTTGTATTTCTTTTCCCTTTCTGAAGATGGTAACTTTGATCACTCACCAGAGTTTCCTTCTACTTCAGCTCTCCTGCCTAGTTTCTCTGCTGGTTAGAGTGAAATTGAGAAGCATCACTATGAATGTGTAAGTTATTAATCAGCCCAGCAAAGTTTTTGATAAATTTATTCCAAGAACTTGCTGAATATTCTTCATTGTTATGCTTTTAAAGTTTTCATAAACACAATTCCATATTATTTCTGTTACTTAAGCTCTTCCAGTTTTGACAGAGTACTATAGTCATGCATTCCTCTTTCACACAACTTCTTTTCCAGTTACAGCTTTCTGTGACCAAATTTATCACTCTGTAACTCGTTGCTCTGCTACCTTGAGCTGCTGTGCTCTTTGGTTGCCTCAGAATCTGTTCTGGCTTTACAGTTTATTTTCCCTTTGCTTGTAGGTTTTGGTTTTTGAGATTTTTGGAGCTTGATTTGTTTCTGGTTTTGGTAAGAAAATTATTTTGTAAGTATTGAATTGCTTATTTAAAATAACTTTACGTAATAGATTACATTTATAGTAGTTTTGCAACGGTATTAAGGTATATAGTGCAATCTGCTCCGTCTGGGAAATCTGTGCTGAAGCAAGCTGAGAATATCACCTGACATTTGGATGGCTTATTGTTTGTTTGGTTTGGCTTTTTATGGACTTTAGTTTAAAGGACTTGTCCCCTTTCGGGCAAAAAGTTCATTGTTTATTTTCTCCCTAACAGCTGTGATTGTCTGTGTCCACGTCTGAATTTTTGGATGAGCATTCTGTTGTTCTTGGTTTTGCAACTCTTAATGTTTTGTTTATCATTTTTTGGACACAAGGAGATGTTGTGTAATTAAAACTTTGCTGTTTTGTGTGTGTGTTTTTCCTTCTAGATGGCTTTCATAAAGTTATGCAATATGATTCAGGCTCAGCTAAGCAAGAGCGACATGGTTCTGGCAAATATCAGCATCCCTTTTTCAGAAAAGGCCAAGAAGAGTTGCTGACAAAGATAAAAAGGAAAGTAAGTAACTTTAATATCTACCAGTAGTATCCTGAGTTTACTCATTAATTTTGATTATTTTCTTCCATACTGTCTTAGGAAAACACACATACAGTTCACAGATATAGGTAGGTTCTAGTCTTGGGCTCTTGGTTAGTAATATTCATCTTGTAAAGTTATGGGAAGCCCTTACAAAGTGTTGCTGAAAAAACACTCTCTAGTGCTGGTACTATGAAGGTATTCTGATTGCCATATAAATATGCTGTATAATCCAGCTTCTGTATTTGCATTGTGATACAAGAAAACTTTTCATGGCAAACAGCCTAATAGAGTCTCTTCAGTTAAAAATGTCCTAATACTGAAAAGATACAAGTGATTCTGAAATGCTGGCAATTTTTACAAAATCTAATGTGTGTCTTAAGAGCTATATGAAAAGTGCTTTTGTTTTAGAATTTAAACCTGATATCCTAGTTAGCCTGAATGTTATGCTTGTCGTGCTCCTTAAAACATATAGGAAAAATAGAGGTTTCTTTCCTAGGTATGAACCTTCTGATAACCTGAGAAGAAAGCTAGATTACAATGAGTTTTATTAATTCTTTTTTCTTCTCTTCGACATGGCTTTTGTTCAGTGCCCTTATCTTGGTTGTTACAGGTGCCTTTACCCCGTATAGAAAATGGTAAGATTGATCCAGAAGAGATCCACAAGATGTTAGCAATTATCCATCATGTGCAAGGAAAACAGCATGTAATGGATTCCATGCTTGAATCACTAAAAAGGTATTTCTTACTTTAGAAGAAAGATTCTAGATAGAATATATAATATAAAATATATAATTATATAATTATATAATAATATAGATTATAATATAATTATATAATATATATTATTATATAATATTATATATAATATAATTATATAAAATATTATAGAATATAGAATATCTGCCAGGATTCTGAGCTTTTTTTTTTTTTTTTTTTTTTTTTTTTTTTTTGCCACACCATCATCCTCAGTAGGAAAAGTCTTGTTTGGGTTCTGCTAGGAATGTTTCTTTGGATTGTGGAAAACATTAGGAGACTTTACCTCTCAGTTGCTTTAGATAACTGAATTAAGCTGACCACTGAATGGGCTCGGTAGCCTGCTACGTTCTGCACTCCCTGTGTTCTGCCATTGCATCTGTTGTGTGGAGCAGTACTGCTTTTTTAATAATGTGGAACCACATTTCTGAACAATGTAGGATCCCATCAGGCAATAATTAGATTTCATGTTATTTCTATGCTATTTTAAATAATATATCTGGTATGTTAGCATTCAGCTGAGAGCTCCTGCAGATCCTTTTCTTTCTGTAAAGAGAAGCTAGGCAATTTTCTGTTTAAGAATTAAAGTAAGATTTCGGTCAAATTGGGGGACACTAGTCTGAAAATTAGATATTTTAAATCTAGTTGCCTCCTTCTAGAACGAGGTAAGTCTCCCTCTGAGCATGCATGGCTTGCTGACTGTATACAGAATGTAGAGTACAGTATAGAGAACTTAGAATTGTACGTTGAGTTTTTAGATGCCTATAGCTGGCTGGAATATATTCTGCCTGGAGTGGCTTGTGCTTTTTGGAGAGTTACTCAATTATACCTGGTTGTCACGGAGTGGTGGTGGGGGGTGAGTGACACAATGCACTTCACTCGTGGGAAAGAAATAGGAATAGGTTTTATTGGTAATGACAATGGTTTCACGAGATTCTATGGCAAGGTCACTTATTAGTTACTGCATGGAGGTTCAAGATATACACAGGATTATCAAGGACACCCTCCCGTTGGGTCACGAGGTTCAGACTGGACCCCCTTGCTTTCCAAACTCCTTCTGAGAGGAGTCTGGGTGCGGCTGAATCCAGTCCTAGTCCCAGACCTGGTCAACGGTTTATGTCTAAGGGATTTGTGCACAGTTACAAAGTAAGGTTTACAAATTCAGAAAGAGAAAGGCGCGCTATAGTCACTTACCATGACTCTGTAGTGGGAAGGATCTCTTAACCTCGAGGAGTATCCTTGAGAGGCGTCCCTGCTCAAGGGGAGATCCCAGCGTGCAGCCCGCTGCCATGCAAGGAGAGCTCAATGGGCTCTTGGACTGTCTCACTATTTGTGGGATAAGATGATTGACTGATGGTCATTCTTTCAATTCAGAAATGACTGTTGGCTGATGTACTCACAGTTAGCCTTATCTCTCCATCAGGATAGGGCCATCAGGACTGTTATTGATGGTTGATGTCTGGGTGGGGGAAGAAATCAGGGAGGCAACTACCAGGATCAGATAATGTGGTAGTTAACACCTGAACGGGGCTACATGTGAGAAGTCAGGATGAGCTGGGGAAGGAGCATATCTGTCACACTGGTGTACAACTGAATCATGTGAATGTGTTTCTTGAGCCAAGATTTAACTCTTGGGTTGTAAAAGAAAGCAGGAAAAGTTAAAAAGGCTGATATGTTTTTGTGCAATTGGAGGCTTCTCTGAGCCTTTTTTCTGAGACAACTCTTAAAAGTTGAAAATACGGGAGGCAGCTGAAGGCTGATACCTCACTGCCTTTTAAGGACTTTTGAATACTTTTCTGAAGGACCTTTAGAGCCAATTTAGAAATGATTGGCTTGGACTTTGGGAAACTTTCTCTTCAGATAGAGTAGCCTCTCTTTCCATCTGTTCAAGATAAATCATTGATTTCATTCCCGCATAAGGGAACACAGCCCCTGTAACAGAGGAATTCCTTTTAAGAAGTACTACTGTCATAAGATTAAGTTCTTCCTTTCCTGTTCCCTACTTTGAATTTCCTCTTGCTACCTTTTCCTTAGTGTTGCATTGCAAACTTTAATTGTGTAAATAGGATGGGGTGTTTCTTGTTGTTTTGGCATAGCTTTCTCTGTCCCTCATCACATTTTGATGATGTAACAGTCTTGAAAAGCTATATGCCACCATGAAGATTGTTCACGGTATACAGCTTAATATCCTCATATCCTCATCTTGTCAGCCCTTTCCAAACATGAGACAGTGCTTGTGGGGAGAGGTAATATCTTTTATTAGACTGACTTAAAATAATGGGAGAGGGTGTTGAACAAGCTTTCAGGCACCCAGTGACCTCAGATGACTTATGGTGCGCAGGCGTGCATCAGTTCTTTTTTCCAGCTATATTAGGTAGCCTAATATAAGGTATTACCTCCCCTTACAAACACGGCCTGACTTTGAGTGTTGTGATTCGAGGCTTTTACCAAAGCTGACAGATGCACTACCCAGTCTGCAGTTTCCATTTCCACCAGTCTCGTTCCTCACACGCGCTTCCTCTTGTCAGGTTCAAGGTCCTGTCATCAAGGTGTGATGAAATTGTCCTTTTCTTAAACTGGACTCAGTTCATTGTCTAATTAATCTGAGTTGAATGGAAATTTTCACTTGAATTTTGCTGGCACTTTTTCATCTTTCTACATTACTTTAGCACATTAATAAATGAGATCTAGGATAGTTATTCTGGGAACCTAAAGGCCATCCAAGCTTTGCAAATAAGTAGTACATGCCTATCAGTGGTGAATGCTTCAGACATATTTGTCTCTTTTTTGAAATAACTTTGTCTTCACAAGCAACAGAAAAGCTCAGTGGGGTGAACTTCATTCTTGCCTTTCTGTTACCTAGATACTGGCAGCCTGTTTCTGATGCTTGCTTTGTATGGGATTTGTGTCCCACTTAAGATAAATAGCTAGACTGGAGAGCAGATTAACTGGTAAGGTGTTAGGGTGAGTCAGAAATGGTGCTTTAGCTTGTCATCTTTTATCCCAAAGCGCTCCATTTTCATGAAAGTAGTTTTAATTAATTGTGAAAGAAATTTTAAATTACTATCTCGATGAGTTTGTAATTAACAAAACCCCAGTTTCTCCCCACCCTTTTCCTGTTAGTGTTGTTTTTTTTTTCTTTCTTTAGAAAAGAATATTAAACTTCTTTAAGAGCTACTGAAATATTCCCCTTGAATTTTCAGGGAAAATGAAGCCCTTTGGAAGGAAGTTCTTGATCTTAAACAGAAGCAAATCCAGCATCAACAGCTCTGTGAGGCAGTGAGTAGCCACAGCTGCTGAGTTACTTTAAAACATAAGCCTTTAGGTAGTTGAAAATTGTGTGATTATGTCCACTTTGCTTAATACGTTTGACAATGAGAAGAGTACTGGTGCTACCCTGTAATTGCCAGCTTTATGGACATATAGAAAGTATTCTGATTTAAATAAATGAGAACATCAAGCAGTATTTAAATTACTACTCTGCAGAATATCTTGCTTATAACTGGTTACTGTGAGGAATTTCAGGTGAAATACTTACCTTTTTCTTTCCCATAGAAGAAGATATCTGTAGGAATATGACACATCTATCTAGACAGCTACAACGATGGCAGATTGAGCTAGCTGCCATATAAAGGGAGACTGAAAAGTCCTTGCATTTCCTTTGGCTGGGGAGGAAAAGGCTGAGGGAGAGAATACAATTGATGCTTGTAGAAGCACAGTGGCCATCACCAGACTCAACTAAAACTTTTTTTTTTTTTTTTTTCAGTGAGTTCTGGCATATAAGCTGGCACTCAGTCCTTTTATCCCTGATTTAATTTAAAATGGATAAAAAGCAGTTCTTCACAGCAAATAGAGAATTTTTGGAATTTGCTACCACAGGAGGCTGCAGAGGCAGAGTGTCAGCAGGTCCAGAGATGGATGAAACAAACTCCTTCATACCTGGTCCATGAAGGAACACTAAAATGAGCTGCCATGTGCACACTCATATCCCTGCAATGAATCTGAGGTGGATTGAATTGAGCCAAGTGGCAGCCTCGCGTGCTCTCCATAAATAGGCATCTGTTACAGCTGCTGTTGCACAGGCCATCAGCCTGAGCGGTTGTATCATTTCTTATGTACTTGCCAAGTGCTTTAGCTTGGATCACCAGGATGGGTCAGTCAGAATCAAAATTATTCCATCGTGGAGCATCCTGCAGTAGTTAAGCAGGGATGTTTGAACATTAACCAGCCCTGCAGTACAGCTGCTTTGCTAACAATACAATGATTTGTGCTGCTAAGGTGATGGCTTTTTGATATGTAACTTAATTTCTGGCAGTGGTTGGTGACTGAACAGGTTGCTTATAACTATAAGAGCAGAAAACATAGTTATAGTGCCCTGACGTGTTTAAAATTTCAGAAATTGTATTCATATAATTTTCCTGTGTGGAAATACTGCAAACTGTTCTCACGATTATCTGTAAGAGGAAGCCAGATTTCAGTATGCCTGTTGAAATTACTATTCTTATGCAAGTAATTAAGAAAGGGAAAGTACTTGACATCTCCTCTAGCTGCAGAGGAGCTGTTTCTCCAAACACTGCAGGCTTTGTTTCACCTCCAAGAGCCGTAATAGAAGTGTGTTTTGGTTGGTTACCAGTAGTTTATCCTAAGCTTTATTGAATATCAGTAGCTTAGTAACATCTTGAAGGGGGGAGTTGGTTTTTTGTTGTTGTTTGTTTGTTTTATTTGGAAGCTATAATTAATGCCACATAGGGGTCTGAGGTTTGTTTTATGTTTGCTGACAATAACTGAGCTATTACTGGTCTTCATTATGGACAGAAATCTAGCCTGTGGGAAGGATCATTAAACCTCAGACAACAACCTCAGGTTTGTTGAAATCTAGCCTGTGGGAAGGATCATTATTTTTTGTTAATTATTGACTGCAAATGGTCTGTTCTCCAGTTCATACCTGCATTTTTTTTCCCCTTCCTCTCTCCCCTAGAATATTACACTGCAAGGTTATAACCAAAGTATGGGCCTGCTACAAAAACAGTAAGTGAAACAAACTATAAAACTAGCTCTGTTCAGTGTTATAGCTTTGTTTTTTCGCTGCTAAAAATACATGCCTCAGTAGCTTCCAGGGAACGACTGACCTGTGCATGGTAGGTTTTTTGGTTGGTTGGTTTGTTTTTCTTTCACATTAATATGCATTATTAATGCTATTCATTTTAGTTGGGCCAGTCCCAAACTAACCATTTGCGTTTGGGAATGGGGTGAAATAGATATCATAAGGAGCCTGTAAACTCACTATCCTGCCAATACAGGCTAAATAATACTATCCTATCTAATGAAGTTTAGGATTTATTTATGCTCACCAGCAAAACTAGTTCTGCAGTGAAAATGCTCATCCTGTAAAGACTGGAAATCAAAACAAGGCCACTTTATCCTGATTCTAACACAGAATTTTGTGAAGCCAATCTCTTCTTGTATACATGCATTGTAGTTCAAAGATCTTATACCATCACAAGATAAAGACAGACTTTTAGAAAGCTGAAGTTTCAGTTTATCAGGAGAAAACCTAAGTTATTATAAGTATATTAAGTAGCTGTGCTTCTTCTGAAGCTGCTGCTACCTTGGATTTTTCTGTATTAAGAGTTATGTGATTCCTTGTGATTCTTTGATACCTGCCTTGTGAGCAAAGTTAGCATTGCAAACACTTTAAATGATTTATTCTAGGCCCCTTATGATAGATAGCACAGGAAACTACAATCAACAGTCTGATCAAGAACTAGTTGACCAGGGCCAGGTAAACCCATATCTTTAACTCTTCTTTCTTCTCTGAACTCTTCTTTCTTCTCTGCAATAACAACTCCTGTTCAGCACAGGTATTTGCTGTGTCATGGCTGGAGCTATGCTTATCTTTGTTTGAATTTATAGGGTATGTATAGGTGCTATGTGGCATACTAATAAGTACAGTAGGATAACTGCTACGGAGCCAGTACTACACAGTGCTTCCTTAAGGAATTCTTTCTCTACACCCTTACAAACTTTTCTTTTTCCCTTGAGCTCTATTTCTTTTAGTTAAATGTTTGAGCTTGGTAGTCATCATTGCATTGCCAAGTCTTTAAGTAATTTCACTGATGCAAGTGATGTAGCTCTTGCAGTATGTACTTCTCTTATGTTGATAATAAGAAAATCATTCCATATGTGTACTTAGTATGCCTAAGGAATACATGAGGCTGGAAAATATAGAGTAATTTCTGGGATCTCATCCTAAGAGGCACTGAATGCTCTGGCCCTGTCCTGCAGAGTATCAGTGTATCTGTTTGTGTAGTCTTGTGCTTAAAAAAAAATGTGTTTGGCTGGATCTATTTAAATGTATTTTACAGGGTCAAAGAATTAATTAGAAAAAAAGGCATATTTACTAAGTCATTTGTCACATATTCTTAGAAGCAGTTTATGGTCAGTCTGAATAGGTGTTTGTGGGAAATCTGTTTATTTTTAAGCATTCAAATTAGAATCATGCAATATCAGCATGATACTTGTTTAGTGTTGAGTACAGAGAACTCGGAAAAGTACTAGAAAAATATTTTGGAAATGACACTAAACTGTTACCATACTAATATCACAGTATGAAATTTGAGGAGTTAACATCTTTTATTAGATTCATGTGGAAAATACTAGTTTTCTGAAAGAAGTGTTGGATTAAATGTTGCTATACTGCTTAAATTTTTACCTAAACCATTAAGGAAGAATGCTGTATATTTTAAGTTTAATCTTTTCTGTAGCAGTTATATGGGGCAATCATTCAGCAAGCAGAGAATGTACCAAAAGAAAATTTGCCTTAAATATTTTGGGGATTATTAATTGGGGTTGTTTATTTCTCTAGTGAATTTTAAAGTGTCTGATCTTGTTTTTTTCATTAGTTTGAAAAGCTTTATTGATAATTGGCACAGTTAAAACTTATAGATTGAAAAGAAACTTGGGAAACTTCTGGGATGAGAGGGCTTTGAGGGGCTATAGGAAAAAAAAATGTGCCAAAGGCAAGGCAGTGGTAAAAGGGGGGGGGAGGGGGCGGAGAGGGTCGAAGAATTGTGCCACTATAGAATCAATCTTGTGTGTAACTGATATTAGACTATTGTCTTCTGCACAAACTGTTTGATTTAGGAGGCTTTTATAAATTTGTTGAATAAGCTGAACTTACTACTTTGTGTGATAAATAAAACCAAAGAGTTTTGTGAATTTGATTTTACATCAAATGAAGACTCCATTATTGTAAATAAAATGGAAGCTTGAAACAGGACAAGGTTTCCCCTTAAGCTCTGAGCAGTTAACAAGGCATTTGTTGTGTTCTGTTGTTTTTTCCAGACCGCAGAAAATCAGTGCAGTAGGACAGGAAGCAGAAGCAAGTGTGAAGCTGCCATCAGTAGCCTTGGAGGAGATCAACGAAGAGTTCAAGCAGACACATCTCGGATGTGTACAAGAGTGGCTGAAAGGTAAGAGCAACGCTTTTTGGTTAAGATGACAACAGCACTGGAACCAACACCTGCCGAAGTGAGGAAAAAGTTCTTCTTGGGAGCTGAGCACTGTTCCCCTTTAGATGGAAGGGAGGGCTTCCCTTTCTACCCCTTCTGCCCCCTTTCACTGCACTTCATTCATCTCCTGCTTGAATTCAGCTCTGACTGAAGTTGTTCGGATTTCATGGTGGTTGGCTCAACATGTTCTAGCTCGTGGTTGTAATCCCGTTAAAAATGGGTGAAGAAGTAGGAGAAAGGAAGAGGGGATGAAGGGCAGGCTCTGGTTAGGAAGGATTATATGTTTTAATGTGGGGAAAAAGAAGATGGGATGGCTGGGGAAGTGGTGCCGTGGGGTCTACTCATGGATTTTGTGAAGGAAAATAGAGGTTCTAGAGAACACACATGAGGGGCAGGTCATGGTTTTGAAGGGTATGGGCGGGAAGGATGAGAAAATAGGTCCCCTTCCCTTCTGTTTAGAGACTCTTCTGCCTTGCAGACTTTGCACTTTGCCAGCTATCCCTATCCATTTAACAGTGTATGAGTTCAGAAGTGAGTCTTGATTTGTTTTTGTTGGAAGTGGTGCTAAAGCAGAAGCAGAGTGGTGAGGGAAGGGTGTTCCCTGAAGGTAAGTCGCTGTGGTGCCACGGTTACTCTGAAGGAGGAGCAGAGACTTTGTTTTTCAGTTGTTGCTGTTGAATGTGAATGAAGCTCTGCCAAGTAGAAAAACAAAGGCTTCAAAGCACCAGCCTGGGTTCAGTTCTAGTTTGAGGGGGATGTTCTTTTGTTTCAGCTCCTCTTCTAGTTAGAATGCAAATGCAAATTCTTAGTACAACTTCTCTGTTGCATTAAGAACAAATGTTTCATGGCCAATTATGTTGCTAAAATAATTTAATTAGTATTCAACAGTTGTTTATAGTAGAATGAACATAAACATTGTGGACTCTGCAACTTCTCTGAAATACTCATGAAATTTATCTTCTGGAACAAAGACAGACTTTCAGAGTTTCTGTTTGCTGCCTTGAATCAATCGCAGTTCTAGTTCAATAGTACAAGTAAAGTCTAACTCAAACCACTTGTATCTTAAATATGCCTTTCTGTAATGTGGCTAAAGGTTTTTGTGTTTTCATCCTTGATGTAACTTCATATGTTTTATTTAATGCCTGGTCAGCTCACAAGATAAACTGCAGAATGATAATTTACTCATGCTTTTTAGGGTGGATTAAATCTACTGCATTTTCCTCTTTGCTTTCTGGTGGGCTGGGTTAAAAAGCTGTTTATAAAGCATGGAATCAAAGCAGGATACTTGTAACTATTTTACTACAAAAGGCAAAGGACCAGGTTAGATAATAGGAAGACATATGCTGTATTTTTAAACAAGAAAAAACTGTTGCATTGTTACATAAGAACAGAATACAAACTTAGGAAAATGTAGTGCTTGCCTTCATGTGTGTACTCCTGCAATTGGAGGTGGTTACCTTAACAATAAGAATGAGGATTTCTGTGAAGCTGAGATTGAGAAATTTGCTGTCTACCCTGAAGGACTTTTACCTATCTGCTGCAGAATATGTGAAGCTATCACCGTTTTGTAGACTGGGAGTGAAAATTAAAGGTTCAAATTTGCCCAAGGATGGTGATATCATTAAATTTTAGTTGGTCTTCACCCAGAGCTGTGCTACCATCAGTAGAACAAAACTGCATGGCAATTTGAAGGCTTTCTATTGGTTGAAATACTTAGCTCACGACTGGGAAGACAGTTAACATGGCTCAGAAGATCATTAAACATTTTGAGAAATAATCCAGTAGTAGTTGCTATTTGCAGTTTGGAGGTGTGGAAAGAATTGCTCATTCATTGAGTGTTCACTGTGCATGCTCACAAATGCTACTTTCTTGCACGTACCTTGCATATAAGGAATAAAAGGCTGAAATTAGAATCTTACTTCCAAGAAAATACTTGGCTTGAGTAAATAGCATCCCTCTCTTACTGCTTTTCTCATACATCATCTCTCAAGCTGTATCTGCATGGTATTATTAGTACAGAGGTTAAAACAGAACTTACTGCATGGAAAAATAGTACAACTGAGGTCAGCCCAGGGAAAATAACTTGTACTATGCACAAATCAAAATGTGTTTCACCAGTTATATTTCAACCTCTGTATTGTATGGTTAATAATTTGTTACAAGGAAAAAATATTTAATCGGATATATGCTATCCTGGGATTTATGTAAAGTGAATGAAACTAAATTGTTTGATAAAATTCATATATCTATATATGTGGTGAAGCACATGATGGTCAGAAGTAGCTGACTTAAGTGACCCCTTTTTTCTCCCCATGCCCCAGCACGTGTGAGCCTTTACCAGGGAGCTTTGTTTGATTGGAACGCTTCCAAACACCACTGCTTGCTGTTGCACAGCATATGGCGTGTTAATGCTTGCTTTTTATTTTTAGCATGCCAGGGCTATGTGCTCCTCCCTCCAGCACGAGCTAGCCTTCCTGGTCTGCATTCCTTGCAGTCCGTCTGCCTCCAAATGTTTTTAGAGTACACAGAATCAGTGATGCTAAGATACGGGTATGCTCAGTCATTAACAATAAAAATGAAAAGTAATTTTTGTGCTGTATTTGGCCAGAACACTTCTTGATTTCTTTGCCCTGCTTCACTGCCGTGTTTTGTTGCTCTTATCTTGGTGGTTACTGATACAAAAATACTTACACATTTACAGTTGTCTGTAGTTTTGAGCAGTGAACCTCTTCAGGATTATCAGTCATACTTGAAAAGTTATGCTTGCTCCAGTAGAACCCTGAACTGAAACTTCTGTTAAGTAACGGAGCCCCAGAGCCTGTCATCCAATAATGAAAAAAGGGGAGAAGGCAGGTGATGGGAAGAACTGGTATCTGTAGCTCCATTTTGTATCACTCCTCTGACATCCTGGCTTGGGAAGCAATCTCTTTTTTAGAGAAAGTTGCAAATAGAATTGGCCAAATGTGCCCAGTGTCTGTCAGCCTGTGACTCTTGCCATCTGTGGTATACATTGCTCTACCTAAAAGATAGGCCTTCATTCTTTTATATAGCCACAAACACGTTTTTTTGTGAAATAAAAAATTATTTTGCTATCTTTATAAGGTGTGCTTGATTTAACTAAGCAGCTGTAGTTATATGGACATTTGTCAACATTTGTGTCTAATACAGTGTAGAAATGGATTTGAGGTTAGAATTCTGTGTTGAAATCAACATAGACTTAAACTGATAAATGGACATACTGTTCTTGTCAGCAGCTGCTCAAAAAACTTCCGTATGACTGGCCCAAGCCTAGACTCCCTCAAGAAAGAGGTGGGCAGAACTGATGTTGCTTCTGACTTCGCCTGGACCAGCCAAGCAGCTATCATGTCAGATCCCTCTGACACCTCCGTGAGCCTTGTATCCAGGCTTGGATCTTCTTTCTCACAGTGCGCAGGAAAGTAAGTCTTAAAAGTGGTTTGCTTGCTTAGTGTTTGGTGGGCTACCTGGGCATAACGTTCTGCTTCTGACATTCCACTGTTCAAAATTTGATGCAAAAGCATGACCACAGACCTTGATTTGAGTAAGTTCCAACAGTGTCCAACTTAACTTGAATGTTTAAAGGGTTGAGTTGTAATGAAAAGCACGCTCGTTCTATGCTTTAAGTACTAGTGTTGCTCAAAATAACCTTTGTCGGTTGTCTGTAACCTCTACAGCTGTCTTGTCGGTGAATGTGACTCAGAAGCTGAGAGCTCCTGCCACTGACATCCACTAAATCTGGAGGGCTCAACTGCCAGGCCAGCTGCCTCGGTGGCCTGCAGGCAGGCTGGGGGCTGATGTGCTGCTGTGGTGACTGCAGCCTTTCAGGGAGACTGCTTCATCTTTCAGGGAAATTAAGCTTTGGGGCCTTTGTTTTCTTATACATTGGCATTAAAAACACAGCTTTTTCACCGAGCTTACTGTGTGTTTCTAAGAAAATCAGTTTTTAGGGGTACCTCTCAGGGCCATTGTGTGCATATGAAAGCTTTGGCCACTTAGGCAGAAACAGTAAATCTGGTATCTGAGGGGGAGGTGACTTGTAGCATTTGCATGATACAAGAGGTTGGCTGTGTGCAGTCCCCTGAGTCTGAAAGAAGGTGGGTGGCAGCCAGTCAGATCAGTTGAGTAATGAACAAGGTTGAAATTATTGTTCCCCTCAGCAGAGCGGGCTATCAGATCACAGCAAATCTCTTGCAAAACCTCAAGAACTTTTTTCCTTTAAAAAGCTAATGAGACAGAACTCCTTGAATCCGTTTTATTTCTGAGACTGACCCCCTGAGGGATGGCAGACACTTAAGGTGCTCACTCTCTCTCTCTCTGGTTGAGGGCTACTCCATAAAGTGTTCTGCTGAAGTATGTTGTGGGGGGGAGGTTTGTTTTTTGTTTTGTTTGTGAGTGAACTTGGGAACATCATGTTAGTCTTTGTCTCTGAACAGCTGTTTCACCCCTTGTAGACATTTTCATAATAAAGCTGGGTTGTATTTTGACTTTATTCCTTAAGAGTAAAGTTGGTTTCCACTGGAACTGATCTAGCTATCTCTAGGCATCTGTCGCAGTGAAATGGGTCTCTCCTATATATAGAAAATATCCTTTGATTTAGATCAAAGAAGTCTCCCTGTTCTCTTATGGCTTACACAAAAGGTTTAGAGTGATGCGTAGCTCTACCTACGGATTGTCAGAATGGGTCTCAGGCTGTCAGGAGTCCTGCCTGGGGAGCAGGGGGAGAATCTTGTGGGTTGTGCTCCACACTGCTCCTTTGAGGCTCACCTGGCCTCACTTACATGTGTGTGTGCATCTCCACTATACACACACACCCCTATATATGTACATATATATATATACATACATATATACATATAGGTATGTATGCAGACTGTTCAGGTGTTCAATGTTAATGCTTGTGGGCAAGATACTGGTTTGTGCCATCCAGCAGTGCTGTCCTGCAGAAGTCAAACACCTTGTCACAGTCAGGAGACAAAAGACTTTACAGTAAACAGCTACATGGCCATCCTGGGCAAAAGCTGGTTAAAGTCTGTTTGTCTAATCTGTAGCACTCCCTGCCTTTGGATCTTTGAAAAGAGAATTTTGCAGTGGTCACCTAGAAACTGTGTACACAAGAGATTGGTTTCCTTCCACCTCTGCTTTTCCAGGTTGCAATATCTTGATTTACCCTGGCTTATATATTGCTGTTGAGCGCCAAGTTGTAGATAAAGTTTTCCAGAGAAAGTCCACAGATCTAACAGCAAGTTACTGTAAATTTAAAATGAAAAAAAGACTTTTATTTTAGATCTGTAGACAGAAGAACATCGCTTGCTTGTGTTTCATTGCCGTTACCATGGCTATATCTGAGTCCGTTTGTCTTTCTCTCTCTTTCTTTTTTTTTTTTAGGAGTTGTGTAGAATTAAAACAATTGCACAAACTGTGCTTTTTTTGGCAAAAAGGAAGAGGAAGACCAGTTTTGTTTTTGCGTCCTTTTTTTTTTTTCTTTTGGTCTTCTGCAATATTCTTAGAGCCTTAAACAGAATTACTTAGATGCATGAAAGTAGTAGTTTAGGACTAAACCCTACCTGTGTAATTGTCCTCTTAAAGATATAGCTTATTTTACAGCAGAAACAGGAAGAAAGTTCAACTGCTTTTGAAGATTTTGATGCCAGCAGAATTAGCGTGTTGGGCTAAATCGCGTGAAAAGAAACTAATCTGCACAATGAAGATATTAAACCTGAGGTCACTTTAAGTTAGGATGAGAACAATCTAAACTGTATAAATGTAAAGTGTTTACATGTTTGCTAAACATATTTAAAAAAAAAGTTTAAAATCGCTAACAAGTTAAAGAATATCTTGTCAAAGGTAATTTTAGAAAAGGCAGAGAAACTGGCAAACAAAAAGGTCAGAAAATCTTGAATTGTCAATAGTCTTTAAATAAAGAGACAACTTATGGTTTGGGGTGGATCTGTTAAAAGGTAATTTTTTTCTGACCTTGAAACATGTAATTTCCCTGGAAATGATAGTGGGAGAAGCATGCAAGAAAGCTAGAACAAGGCTGCTGGGGGGGGAAAAAAAAAAAAAAAAAGCAATGGCCAGTGCATTTCTTCACACCCCTTTGGGTGGACCTCACACACATGGCTGAAGGCATTTTAAGATGAGGCAAGGATGTGCTCTAAAGTAAGTATCTCAGTTTTCCACAACACATAAGATGTTTTATAACACCAGTAGAAGAGTTGCTCTGTATTTGAGTTTAATTTCTATATTTGTCTTTAATATTGGGGGGAGCAGAAATCTGGACAAAACTGTTCTAAACTTCTTTATGATGGAAATTATGCAACATAAGTATCGCTTATGTTCAAGTTCATATTTTTTTTCCAGAATACATTCATCAGAGACAGACTGGATACTCGAACATCGGAATAGAAGTTACGAAAATCAAGAACATCTAGTAAGAAAAACAATACCGTTTCTGCTACATTCCGTTTATTTATAAAAAGGGATTTATTATAACCTAAGCCTATATTGCTTCTAATACTTTATTTCTTTTTGCTTACATTAATTTTGTTTTAGTAGTTGTCTGTGCTGATTGGGAAAAATACCAGACATTTAGAAAATTGTTTATCCCCTGCTTTGTCCTATGATTTTACAGTAGCAAGACCAAGAAATGTCTGTTGTCTTGTTGCACCCTGGATCTGCTCACAAAGCTATCACAGGGAGGAGAGGATCAGAGCAGTTTGCCTGACTCCCTTGTTCTGCTCGAGCTATTGTGCTTCCTAGCTGTTCACTTCCTCTCCTAGACCATTCTCTGAGTTGGCGTTTGCATTCGAATGGTGAACTGAATTATAGAACTGAACTATGTTACACCTGAGCTAATTTCTTACCTGCTGAAGATAATGATGTACCACAGTTACTGTAACGCTCTGGAAGAGGGAGCACAATAGGGAAGGAGTAGAGGGGATTGGATAAGGTAGTAATGGTTTTCATAGCCTTTATCACTAAGGCTTGTTTCTCACCCTGAGTGGAGGACCTTCATGGTCGCTGCAGAAACAAAAGAAACCATAATCTCATATTTGTCATGTCCCTCATGATGGTAACTCTAGGATCTGATTTCAGTTCTTGCCTAGAGGATAGGAGAGGAAGAAGTGATGCATTGCCACAACTGTGGAGTCCAAATGCTTTGTCTTTATTTGATACCTATGTCTGCAAAATGTAGTAAACTACTAGATGCTGGGTTTTGTCTTGTTTTTCTAACATATACTTGGAGCATAATGGCCAATATGAGTGTGGGTGTTGTTGTGTTTTTTTTTTTTTTTTTTTTTTGCTAAACAAAGGTGACGTCGGCTGCAGTGGCAGTTGCAGCATAGATAGTGTTTCAGTCTCCACCTGCGCATTGAATTGTGGTGTGTGGTTGCTATGGCAGCACTTTTAATCAAACTGGGAAGGAGAAGAGAGGAAAAAATAAAAAAAGAACTGTGAGAACCCCAGCAATTCATGACTTTCTGTAGTATATCTTATAATTACACGTGTGCATGTATTTGGCTCACATTTTTAGATGTCAAACCTTTTCCCCTCATTAATGAAAACATACAGGAATCTGAACAAGCAACAGACCGGAGTGGATTAGACACAGAATTAGAAGATTGCAGCTCTGCCTGTTCAGATTCAGGTAAAAGTCTTAGGCTGAGATTAACCAGTCTCAGTTGGCCTATTTTCAGTTGTGGGTTTTCTTGTTGTCTTTTCCTGTACAAAAAGATGTAAAAGAATTGTTAAATAACTATTAGCATGCAGGAAAAAAACATGCCATGAAAGTTTCCTTAAACACAGAGGTCACATTTCCCCAGTCCTGGAAATCATATCTTTGAATTAGTGTTCTGAAGAGATGGAAAATGTAACATAGTGTAGCTTATTTTTGAGAATATATTTATTATTGTTAATTTTGCCTGTTTAAATATATGATTAAAACTGCTTTTTGCTACTTTTTAGAGATAAAAGTAAATCAATGCCAGGGCTATTTTTCTATGGAAAAAAAGCTTACCCATGTTCAGGGGTTTGAGAACTCTTTTGTAGTTGGCAAAACAGTTACTTTGTGGAAGTCCTAAAGTTTGGAGCTTGACATAACATTAAATTCAGGCCTTTGAATAACTTAATCGTTGATGTAGCGTGTGTTTGCTAAGCTAGCTTCAGGTTAGATAAAAGCTGCTCTTTGTGCTTCGAGAGCCGTTTGTTGCCATAATGATTATAAATGCTGATCATAATGTTATAAGTACTTATGGATCTTACTTACCGGGAAAAAAATCTTGAAAAACAGTTTCCATTAACAGAACTTAACCATGTTGAGTTAATCTTTCTTTTTGGAATAAAACAGTGTTTGGATGGCCAAATGAGCATATATACTTTTTTTTTTTTTTTTAAATAGTAAGAACTTTTTTTTCAGTAAATGCTCTAAAACTTTTCCCTTTTTTAATGGCTTTGAACTTTTAAAACTATATATTTTTTAAGAAACTTTGACTGGTCTTTTAGTTTGTTGAAAACATGCCTTTTTGAAATATATTTTTTTCCTTGTAGTAAAAGCAAAATAGACTTTTGAGGCTATACAGAAAATTTCAATGGAGTGTAAAATGTTTCTGTTATTTTTCTAATCGAGAAATGTCTAAAACAAGTCTTTCTCACACCGAAGCAAATGAGAAGTTATTGATTCTGTGTCAGTTTTATGTATGTGTATCATGAAGGATTTGAAATAAATATGAAGGAATGTAGGTCAAATAGAACTTTTTATAGTTATAGCTTAATTTTATATAGTTATAGTTTATATATAGTTATAGTTTAATTTTAAAACTTACTGTGCAGTCTTTATTTCATCACTATCAGGTATCTTGACTGCTGACAGTGACCTCTTTTTTTTTTTTTTTTTTTTAACTCTCTTTAAAAGGGCATGTTGAGAAGAGAAGAAAAGTGAATCACTCTGGAATCCAGAAAACTGAGCAGTGCTTCAATCAGATACATGACGACAGCATGAAACTAACTAAAAGAATATTGGCTTTGGAAGAAAATTCTCTTCGGAAGCTCTCTGAAATTTCATCCACCTTGTCTGCTCTAGCCAGTTACATCATGAACACAGAGAAATCTCAAAGGCTGCCCCAAGCTCAAGGAGAGTCAACTGACAGCTAAGCCTCTTAGGGACAAATTAAGGTGATCCTAATATGTGCAGAGTTTGGACTCCTAGAAAGGATCAGTCTTTTAGATATTTTAACTCTAAATACTCTTTTTTTCTTTTTTTCTTTTTTTGTTAGCAGATATTCTTCAAACTTTACTGAAGTGCTGTGTACAGTGTTTGTTACCATAAACATTCCAGGGTGCTTCACCTGTGGTCTTCTGTGCTTGTTCAGAGGCAATATACATGTGAGCTCAGTGACTGATTTGTCTTTTGCCTGCATAGTGATTGATCTAGACAAATCAATAAAGACAACTGGATTTGAAATGCAAATTAAAATGCTTGAGACTTTCTATGTCTCTTTACTGACTTTATTGTGAGAACCTCTGCCATGTCCTTTGGTCAGGGCACATAGTAGTCGCTGACTACCTTGGGTCACTTTTGGTTCCTTGCTTTGTATAACATTGTTTCATTAAGGAAAATCTGCAGACTAGTGTCACTTGGACTTTGAGTGTCATTATCAATACCACTGTCATCTGATGTGAAACTTATGGAATGCTTGTGAAGCTGTCAACATACTAGTTTATTTCCATAAAATAGCTTCTTAAAGCACAAATTAATTGAAGATGCTTTTGAAGTTGCTCAGGATGCTTGGTAGAATACAGAAGGAGGTTAGTTTTACTATATTTTCAGAACTTATTAGGCTAGCAGTTTTCCTTGGCATCTCCTTTCTTTTGGAATCAATTTCTCCTAAGTCATTGTACAGCTAATGGGTATGAAGTTTAAAGACTATTTCTTTTGGAAAGAGGTCTCCTTAGGGACTGCCTGACTGATCCTTGAGGATTAGTCTGAATGTTTTTGTTGTACATATGCTTATGTTCTTTTTCTTAGATCGTATGCGTAACAAATTAAATGACAAAACAGGAACAACTCAGATGCTGAAGTGTCAGTTGGAGCTGGATGCTCGCTTCATTATGAGCATTAGCAGTGGTTAACGTGGCAGAGGAGGCAGGTGTTTCTTGCTGTGTCTGGTGCACCTCGATTACCAAGTAGTTTGCTGAAGTGGAATGCCAGATCAGAGGAGACAGTGTTGAGACTTCTTCACATCTGCTTTCTGTAGGGGTGCTGGTGTTTCAGCTACACTATGGGGCTAATATGTCTACGTGCTATTGGCAGCAAGGAATCCATCTCTTGCTTCAAAGGGAGGTCCCCTAAGGAGGCACTCTCCTTAATCTGTTCTGTGCAGCCCCTGGCACCGGTGCCAGACCAGCATGCCCATGACTATATTTAAAAAAGGGCTTTGCCCCCCCAGGACCTCCTGGCGCAGAGGCCGGGGCCTCTGGGGAGCAGGGGAGGCCGCGGCTGCGCCGGGGCCTCGCTGCGTGCCCTGCCTGGCCCCGCCCCGCGCAGTGAGGTGCGCCCGGATTGGACGCCCCCCGCGGCTCGGTTGCATGT